AAACTAAATACACTGTTAGATTCAGCATATTAAAGAACCCCAAGAATTCAAGAATAAAACCCCATTGAAATTGGTCAAGAAATAAGAAATTTATACGAAGTATCTTCTTTTGCACAATACTGTGCAATTAAATATTTCTTGCTATTGCGCAATACTGTACAATTGACAATTTCTTGCTATTGCGCAATATTGTGCTATTGGATATTTCTTGCTATTGCGCAATACTGTGCAATTGAAGATTTCTTGCTATTGCGCAATACTGTGCAATTGAAGATTTCTTGCTATTGTGCAATACTGTGCAATTGAAAATTTCTTGCTATTGCACAATACTTATTATATAATAATTTACACATCCTGTTTGGTGTGTTTCTCCTACCATATCATTATTATTTGCTTTTAAATATAAATCAGAAACAACCAACTTAAAATGGAAAATTTTAAAAGAAAAAAAAAAGAAAAAAAAAAGAAAAAAAAGGAAACCCCCCCCCCCCCCCCCCCCCCAGAAATCCCCTTATGATTCATCACCCCCAAACTCAATCCCAGCCTTCCCTTTGTGGTATGGTACCTTGCAGTACAATTTCAGAGAGATCCATACACTTGAACACAAGTTATTGTCTGGAAACTAGAAAAATGCTTGTTTTTTGGCGCCTTTTTGGCCCCAAATTCCTAAACGTTTAGGGCAATTACCCCCAAACTCAAACCCAGCTTTCCCTTTGTGATATGGAACCTTGTAGTACAATTTCAGAAAGATCCATACACTTACACACAAGTTATCGTCCTGAAACTAGAAAAATGCTTGTTTTTTGCCCCTTTTTGGCCCCTTATTCCTAAAATATTGAGACAATTACCCCCATCATCAATCCCAGCCTTCCCTTTGTGGTATGGTACCTTGCAGTACAATTTCAGAGAGATCCATACACTTGAACACAAGTTATTGTCTGGAAACTAGAAAAAATGCTTATTTTTGGCCCCTTTTTGGCCCCCAATTCCTAAACGTTTCGGCAATTACCCCCAAACTCATCCAGCTTTCCCTTTGTGATATGGAACCTTGTAGTACAATTTCAGAAAGATCCATACACTTACACACAAGTTATTGTCATGAAACTAGAAAAATGCTTGTTTTTTGCCCCTTTTTTGGCCCCTAACTCCTAAAATTTTGAGGCAATTACCCCCAAAATCAATCCCAGCATTCCTTTTGTGATATGGAACCTTGTGGTACAATGTCAGAGAGATCCATACACTAACACACAAGTTATGTCTGGAAGTTACAAAAATGCTTATTTTTGGCCCCTAATTCCTTTACTGTTGGTACCATAACCCCCAAAATCAATCCCAACCTTCCTTTTGTGGTATTGAACCTTGTTGTAAAATTTCATAGAGATCCATTCACTTAAACTAAAGTTAGAGTGCGAAAACCAATGTGTCTTCGGACGACGCCGGACGACAACGACGACGACGACGACGACGACGACGACGCCAACGTCATACCAATATACGATCACAAAAATTTTTTTGCGGTCGTATAAAAAGTAAAATAACAAAAATACCGAACTCAAAGGAAAATTAAAAAAATCAAAAACTCAAACACATCAAACGACTGGAAAACAACTGTCATATTCCTGACTTGGTATAAAACAGTCTTAACATAATTGTGAGCCAGCCCACATATAGATAATTGAGGGAAATTAATTTTTTTTATCAATTTTCTGCGAACATGGTTATAACCATTCTTAGAAAGTTTAATTTAAAATACAAGTCGATTTTGTCACATGTATATTAGTCTGGATAGTAAGATGAGGGATTGAATCAGAGTTATAAATTCACTCAACACAAGGTCTGAAAGAACATGATTTATTTATTATTTTTTTATGGCTTTGAACTAACTTTCTATAACTGCGAGTTCTCGTAGATCGGTACTTTTTGTCTTTTAGTATTTATATTAGTTGTTTTGTGCTTCGTGTCAATCTGATGAGTGAAGCCATTTCCAACTGATTTTACAGTCTGTTCTTATGTTGTGCGGTTACAATTCTGTCCCAGGTTAGGGAGTTGTGAGCGCTTATAAACATATTTAACCCCGTCCAATTCTGTAATTACCTGAATAAGTCCGGAACCTGTTATTTAGTGGTTGTCGTTGGTTACTGTTTGTCATATTTGTTTTTCGGTTTATTATTTTAAAAAAAAAATGTAGGTCTTCTCGTTTCAGTTGTTTCATAATTTGTCATGTCAATGCCTTTTATAGCTGACTATGCGAAATGTGTTTTGCTCTTTGTTAAATGTCGTAAAGTGACCTATAAACGCTTATATCCACGTCATTTGGACTCGGAATACCAACAATCATACAACATAACTTTTATTTTTATATAATATTTTAGATAAATATGTGGAAAATTATATAAAAGTAGAAATGGAAATTTTAGTGCAAAAAAAGACAATTACAATATCGAAATCTTGTAGCCAAGCGCCTGTGGATTTGTCAGACGACATTTCAACAAGACCAATGTAACTAGTAACAGAGGGAAAAAACATGCATGGAATTACCCTTATACGGGTTTATCTGAAACCATGCAATTTGAATAAATAAAATACTGCTTTAAAATTACCTAAGAGATTGGATTTGAAATTGACAACTTGATAATTTTTAGACAAACTTAAGATCAACTCTAAGTTTGTTCTTAAAATCATGGAAGTCCATTTTCAATTCGCCAATTTTGTGTGCTTTCTATACAAATGTTTACTTGACCATAAGTGCCAATATTCTCTTGGTCAACCAAGACAGTTACAATTGCTTAAAATTGAAAATTCTTCGGGAAACATCGCATAAAATCAATTACTAATTCAGTTTGACTATCGTTTTAGTAACTTTCTATCAAATCACCTTCTATCAGAAAAAAATCTTTTTTTTTTTTTTTGGTTTATTTATATGTTTCGGAGTTTAGTGTGACGTCCATTTTCTCTGAACTAGTACACATCTTTGTTTAGGGGCCAGCTGAAGCCCGCCTCTGGGTGCGGGATTTTCTCGCTGTGTTGAAGACCCATTGGTGGCCTTGGGCTGTTTTCTGCTCTTTGGTCGGGTTGTGGTCTTTTTGACAAACAAACAAAAATCGTTTATTATTAATTTCTTGAATGTCTCTGACCTATAGCGCATGGCCAAAAGTATTCGTCACCTTTCTTTTTTTTTTTTTTTTTTTGCTATACATTTTATTTTGAAGGCATTTATTGTTGAATTTGAAAAACCAGGTGTTAAAGACCCAGATTTGTGTAATGTATATTTGTTTATTTGGTCATAGTTTTATCATCAATCGTTTTTGTTTTCTCTTGATATGAACAGCTATAATAATTTTTTACAATTCAATTTGGTTGAAACATATAGCAAATTTATGAACAAAAAGTAATACTTGTGTTTATATCATCATGAAAATGAAAACGCGACACAACAAAAATATAACATAATAAACAAATAAGCCTGTGACAATTCTGCCTCAATAGATACCAAGTTGTTTAAAATCCGATCAGAAATGGTATTTGTTCGCATAGAAACATCTTTAACTCCTTTTAACAAAACTATTTAGTCTGTTGCTTTCATCGTTTGCAATACTTACAGGGAAACGATAACATATGCATGGCAACTCTGTTTTAATTGTAATTTGTTTTGATTGTTACTATAGATCTTCGGAACCCGTAACCAATAGCGTCCTTGTGGAGAACGTGCCAAACATTGAAGTAAACTGGAATCCGCTTGTATTACGCTACACTCGAACAAAGTGTAGTAGTCAGCCGAGAACCAGCTTAACATTGAAGAATCCCGTTTACATTAGCGATATTTTTTTTCTATAAAAGTATGCCTTTATACTGCTAACAATATAAACATGTGGTGATGTGTTATGATAGCTAACGAGACAACCATTCCCCATAAACCAAAGAACAAGGATGCAAACTAAACAAACACAGAATATGGTACAGTCTGCAACTACGGAAGCCCTTTCAGGACCTTCCAAAAATATAATTTGAATTCGAAATTACGATTTTCTATTTTTAAATTATACAATTCGTTATAACGATTTTAATTCGTTATCACAAATTACAAAAAATTGTGATAACGAATTTAATTCGTAATTACGAATTATAAAATCGGTTATAACGATTTCCACCAATTCTTTATCACAAATCTAATCTGTTATAACAAATTATACAATACGTGATAACGATTTAAATTCGTGATTTCGAATTCAAATTATATTTTTGGAAGGTCCTAAATGGGCTTCCGTACTGCAACAATCATCAAAACCGATACCGTATAGTGAATGAAAGTAACACCTTATAATGTTGGTGCCTCCGAAGCGCTTTTCTGGATTACAATCAAACCGAAAAATTTGAAAGCCAAGTAGTTACTGTAGTAAGTTATGAATGGCCCTATGATAAAAAAATTTGAAACAATAATTTAAGAGAAATAAAAGAAGAATGTGTCTGAGGACACGAATGCCCCCGTTCAAGCTTTACAATTTTCCCAGTTAAAATGGGCATAACTCTAGAAAGGTAAGTGACTCACTGCCTAGATTCGAACCCTGTCTGCTAGTTTTTGGTTCTTAGCATTGTGTATGAGTTTCATAAAATTTGCATGAGGCAAACCTAAGTTAGATTGCGGAAACGAAAATGGGACGAACGGAAGGACGGAAAGACGGACGGAATTAAACTTATTTAATTAAAAAGTTGCCTACGGTGGGGGCATACAAATCAACGTCTACATTTAAACGTAGAAATCAATAAGGACCGACAACAACCAACGACAACCACTGTCAAGTATTGTCTCGTTGGTTGTCAAACTGAATTTTCTAAAGTTCATTTAGTGTTGTATGTTTAGTATTTTTTGTTTTATTTTCATGTAAATGTAAACGTCATCATTATATTGTTGTTTATACATGTAATTGTTATTGCAGGATTCAATGAACGGTAAACGGAAATTGTGTATGTAAATAAGTGTGTAGAAAAATAATAAAATAACAATAGTTACAATATTTATTAATATTTAATAGGCGTACATGGCCTATTAAATATGTAAAGTTCTAAAAAAAAAAATGAACGATTAAAATGTGGAAATTAAACAAGGCATAAAACTACTGTACCCATCTAAAACCATTCTGGTCATTGAAAAAACAAAATAGAAAACATTTTAATATAACAAAGAATTGCTGCCTTCCGTTAAAGTACCTTTTCTGATAAAAGATAGACAACTCTAATGTAAAAAAAAAGTTTCTTCACCCAAACAAATACGTTCGATTTCTATGTACCTTATATTGGATAGCAGTGAACGATTTCACGGTCCACCTTACAGACAATAAACTCAACTTTAATGCACTTTGTACACAATCAAATGAATAAGTTGTGATGGTTTAATTCGTGAGGTAAAATGATAATTATTAAGTCCCAGAAAAACGCCATGTAATTATAAACAGCTAGTGTAAACATCTGTAATAAAAAAATATAACAAACATACTGACTGCAAGGCAAATTCAAAAAGGGGAAGTCCATAAAAACTGACATAATTAAAAACGCTATCAATCAACTAAACAAGTGAAAAACAACTGCCATGTAGAACTTGATTTTGTCATATTTGTGATGAATTTTGAATCATAATATCAACTGTTATCAGTGGCGGATCCAGGGGGTGTTCCGAGGGTTGGAACACCCCTTTTTTTGACGATCAATGCTTTTGAGTTGGGAGGTATGGTTGGAACCCCCCTTTATCCTGGGTTGGAACCCCCTTTAAAAAATGGCTGGATCCGCCCCTGGTTATATTTCTATTTTTGAGAAACTGAAAAAAGATGATAATTGAGCTTAATTAAAAACTTAACATAATTTCCCGTTCCTACTTTCGCTGTGGAGACAATATCGAAATTTCAGGGTTTGAACATCAATAAGATAGATTAAAGTCTTGAAACAGATTTCCATGATGTAGATCCTATTCCAAGAACGAATACTTTTTAATTTCACAACTTTCCTGCAGGCAAATGAACAATCTGAAACTTTTGAACCCGGACAGCTTTATGTTAATTTCAAATGTTTTTAAATGTACATTCTAAATGATAAATCATAACTTGTTTTTCTCATTTACCCGTTGAAATAAACTGTGACACATAAACATCTGTTATGTCTAGAATAAAATGAACGGAGATATACATGTACGTTGTGGATTTTGAAACAAGGAAAGTTTCACTGTCATTCATTGCCCGACAATACTTTGATTTCTGTGATTTCACGTCATGAATTACAATCGTCTAGATCATCTTCACTAGTCTGCGAGTCTTCCTCTTGTTTGTTATTGTCCAGCATGACACGTATAGTAGCGAAATCCGAAGGATCTACTAAATCTAAAGGTCTCTCTCCTTCATCGGTAAGTATGGTCCTATCGGCTCCATGGTCCAGTAATATTCTGTGGGAAAAAAAAGGTTTTTCATTATTTTATCTACTTTGTGGTTTCCTAATGATCTTGATAATAAAAACAAATTATATGATTTCCTTGCGCACAGCAGCTCACAACACGTGCTTTTGTCAATAACCATATATTAATATACACGTCGGAATATGTGACAACTTTACGACTGACATACTCCATCGGATAGTAACAAATTAGGCAAAGTTCGTCTCAAATCAAATTGTGGTAGCAAATTTTTGTCTTTTCTTTAGAAACCATGCTTCTTTGGCATTGTGGCAACTCCACGGCCTGCACTATGTCCAACCACCTAGACCATTCGACCAACTAGGCTATATAAAATATATATGTGTTTGTCTTCCTCGTTGGCTTTACCTAGGTTAGTAACACAGTACACGATGTATGATGCCATGTAGATGGGATACCTTGCTGATCAGACTTTGTCAGTCGTAAAGGATGATAAATTCTTCCATGCTGTCACATCAATATGTTTTTATAATATATATACGATTATCAATTATGTTAATCAATTGTAACTGATTTTTATGTCCGTTATGGACCCTGTAATTTGGGAAATAAAAATATTCTATTCTATTCTATACGTCTTAAATAAACGTAACACTTCTACGATTGACATTCTGCGTCTGATAAAGAGAGTTATACAGGGCTAAAACTACAAAGTAAGCCCAACAATGTTAGCTTCTGTGACCTCGTGGGCGCTCCACCTGCGTATACAATGAGGTACACCCATGAACAAAGACTATAAAACCATTGATAGCATTAAGATCACCGTGGGCCTAAATAGAACAGCTAAAACAGTTAAAGGTCAACTTTGCCCAAGGGAGATGCAACCTTAGTTTAAGCACAATTACATTATTTAATGATTTATATGTATGACCTTATTAATTCTTCCTGATCCCCAGTCGAGTATAGGATAGTGGAATGAGAATTAATGGTGAAGACTCGCACAGAAAAAGGTGAATGACTGTAACTGTTTCCAGAATCAATATCCTGTTTCAAGCACCTGTGATATGTATGACAAGAGCAAAAAATATAAGCATATGAAATAAAAAGGACATCTACAGACGTTCACCTTCGACAGATCAGTAGATTCTTAAATATTTGGCAGAAATATTTATAAAATACAAGAGGATCTCTCATACCAACATCTCATACAGTTTTCTGTATCTTAGGTCATGTTAACATTTTATGAAATAAAAGAACAGCATACAGGGAATATTTAACTACGTACTATGTAAATACTGGACAGACAAGCAAGACAATATAATTAGAGTTATCGTTCTTACATCATTTGGTATTCAATTCATTTTCTTGCCTTAGAACAACTTTAAAATCCATATAAATTTATTCCATGCAAACATTTTTGATGATTTAAAGGAATGACATTTTCGATGTAAAGTCGAATGGCACATTTATATATAACCCTTGAGTTTCCCTGAGTACACATTGATGTATTACTCTTAAGTGGGTTGCACATTGATATATTATTCTTAAGTAGATGGTACATTGATGTATTACTCTTAAATGGGTGGCACATTGATGTATTACTCTTAAGTGGATGGTACATTGATATATTACTCTTAAGTGGGTGGCACATTGATATATTACTCTTAAGTGGGTGGCACATTGATGTATTACTCTTTAGTGGGTGGCACATTGATGTATTACTCTTAAGTGGGTGGCACATTGATGTATTACTCTTAAGTGGGTTGCACATTGATATATTACTCTTAAGTGGGTGGCACATTGATATATTACTCTTAAGTGAGAGGCACATTGATGTATTACTCTTAAGTGGGTGTAACATTGATATATTACTTTTAAGTGGGTGGCACATTGATGTATTACTCTTAAGTGGGTGGCACATTGATATATTACTCTAAAGTGGGTTGCACATTGATATATTACTCTTAAGTGGGTGGCACATTGATATATCTCTCTTAAGTGGTTAGCACATTGATATATTACTCTTAAGTGGGTTGCACATTGATGTATTTCTCTTAAGTGGGTTGCACATTGATATATTACTCTTAAGTGGGTGGCACATTGATATATTACTCTTAAGTGGATGGTACATTGATATATTACTCTTACGTGGGTGGCACATTGATTTATTACTCTTAAGTTGATGACACATTGACATATTACTCTTAAGTGGGTGGCACATTGATTTATTACTCTTATATTGATTTAAAACTCTTAAGTGAGTGGCACATTGATTTATTCCTCTTATATTGATTTAATACTCTTAAGCGAGTGGCACATTGATATATTACTCTTAAGTGGTTGGCACATTTAAATATTTCTTTTAAGTGGGTGGCACACTGAGATATTCCTCTTAAGGGGGTGGCACATTGATATATTACTCTTAAGTAGGAGGCACATTGATGTATTACTCTTAAGTGGGTGGCACATTGATATATTACTTTTAAGTGGGTGGCACATTGATGTATTACTCTTAAGTGGGTTGCACATTGATATATTACTCTAAAGTGGGTTGCACATTGATATATTACTGTTAAGTGGGTGGCACATTGATATATCTCTCTTAAGTGGGTAGCACATTGATATATTACTCTTAAGTGGGTGGCACATTGATGTATTTCTCTTAAGTGGGTTGCACATTGATATATTACTCTTAAGTGGGTGGCACATTGATATATTACTCTTAAGTGGGTGGCACATTGATGTATTACTCTTAAGTGGGTGGCACATTGATATATTACTCTTAAGTGGGTGGCACATTGATCTATTACTCTTAAGTGGGTTGTACATTAATATATTACTCTTAAGTGGGTGGCACATTGATTTAGTACTCTTAAGTGGAAGACACATTGATATATTACTCTTAAGTGGGTGGCACATTGATTTATTACTCTTATATTGATTTAAAACTCTTAAGTGAGTGGCACATTGATTTATTCCTCTTATATTGATTTAATACTCTTAAGTGAGTGGCACATTGATATATTACTCTTAAGTGGTTTGCACATTTAAATATTTCTTTTAAGTGGGTGGAACATTGAGATATTCCTCTTAAGTGGGTGACAAATTGATATATTTCTCTTAAGCGGGTGGCACATAGATATTTTCCTCCTAAGTGGGTGGCACATAGATATATTCCTCTTAATTGGGTGGAACATTGATATATTCCTCTTAAGTGGCTGGTACATTGATATTTTACTCTTAAGTGGGTGGCACATTGATATATTGCTCTTAAGTGGCTGGCACATTGATATATTACTCCTAAGTGGGTGGTTCATTGATATATTCCTCTTATGTATATCTAATACTCTTAAATGAGTGGCACATTGATATATTACTCTTAAGTGGGTGGCACATTGATATATTACTCTGAAATGGGTAGCATATTGATATATTACTCTTAAGTTGGTGGCACATTGATATATTCCTTTTATATTGATTTAATACTCTTAAGTAAGTGGCACATTGATATATCACTCTTAAATGGGTGGCACATTTACATATTCCTTTTTAAGTATGTGGCACATTGCGATATTCCTCTTATGTGGGTGACAAATTGATATATTTCTCTTAAGCGGGTTGCACAAAGATATTTTCCTCTTAACTTGGTGGCACATTGATATATTCCTTTTAAGTGGTTAGCACATTGATATGTTACTCTAAGTTAGGTGGGTGGCACATTGAACACATAGAATATTATTATACACACGTACATGGTACAAATAATAAATAAAAATGAAGAAAAAAAAAATCTTTAGGACATTTGAAGAAAGGTGATTATGGAGATGGTTGTGGTGGTGGGGGGAGCCAAGACAGATTCGTACTTCAATGACCTTTGAAATCTTCATTAAAACTCAATGTGATATTCTCAACAAAAATTCAACTACCGCTATTCAAAGAGACTTTTTCATCACCTTTCTTGGACTATGTATTCATTATAGACATTTTAGAAAGCGTTATCGAATAAATAAATACTGGTGCGATATTTCAGATCAACCAAATAAAGTGTATTTAAGAGTCATTTATAAAAGAGACTAACCGTTTTTTGATCAACCAAATACATTTTATTTTAGTTTTTAAGCTTAAAACATTTTCCATGAATTTCAATCCATTGTTAATTTTGAGTAGTATATAATGTTTAGTCACAGATAGTTCAATGAAGACGGCATGTATCACAGTCAATCTTAAGGCAATTATCATAAAATTCCTGTTAAAAATGGTGCCAGCTAAATGGAACTTTCAAGCCAAAGCAGTGGTCTATCACTGCAGTTGTTGAGTACATATAGGCTGAGTCGGCCCTCCAACACAGATAACTGTTGTACAGATTGAACCATATGTATGTTGTGTAAATAGTGCTGGAAAATGCATTAACTTTATATCATTATAAACACACTGTAACGCATAAATTCCATTTTGTTATAATTTGGCTTCATTTCAAACCAGACATTTTTGTATTAAACTGATGACTGCTCGCAGCTATTTCATATCAACAAAATTTTAACGGTTTCAGCTTCAAAGAGATATAATTTAACTAGGTTATCTGTACTTGACTGGTGTAAGTATGATATTATTATCTATGGGACGCATCTTCTTAGGATATAATTGCAACATATGCTATGAAGGATGCACAATTCTAAAATATACAAGACCATGTAGGCTATGACGACGCTAAAACGCCTGTATAGAATTCTCACCTTGGTTTCATTATACCATTTTTTTTTTAAAATGCACTATTATACCCCAATGGGGTTGATAGCATACATGAAAACAAAATAAATATTACATAATAAATCACAAAATAATAAAGAAAGACATGAATTTATATACATTGTGTATGTACATATTATGCAGTTGTTGAATCCACTCTCCTCAGTGACCTGGACTTTTTAATAAATTGATTAGCACACCGCATAATTGACGGACATGAAAGACATAATTAAAAAACCAATTTATCAAAGTTATCCATCTCATTTATATTATACAAAGCAGAATAAATCATGACTTAAGAACTCTGCCGTATATTTCTAATCAGAATACGCATCTAACCGTGGATGTCGTTTAAAGAAAATAAGTACACAACTAGCACATAATTCGACATTTGATAAAAGCTGACATAGCAGGAACAATAACTCCTGAAAATTCCCTGAGTTAGACCTTGACCTGTTGATCATTTTTATCATATGTCAGTTTTGCCCTTACTGCTTTGGCTTTTAGATATAAGCCAAGAATGAAATGCTAAAAATTGACATTTCAGGGACGTTAACTTGATGGTTCTTTTTTTCTAAAAATTCAATAGAAGGAAGCCTTGTTTGGCCTGCTGATCAGTTTTACATCATGACAGTTTTAGTTTTTGAGACATAAGCCAAAAACTGCATTTTTAGCCCTATGTTCTATTTTAAGCAAAAGCAGCAATGTTTGTTGACGGATCAAATCCCTTGATATAACTTTTTAAGCTAGATTCCCGTAAGGAACATTCAGGTAAAGTTTTGTAACATTTGGCCCAGCAGTTTCAAAGGAGATGATTTTTTTTAAAAGTTTACGACGACGACGACGGACGTCAAGTAATGGCAAAAGCTAACACAGCATTTTATGCTAAACCACGGGCAAACGTATGACCTGATCCGTAATATTTAATTTTTAGTTCCACTGCACATACATAAATAAGATGTTATAACAGTGAAATCTTATCTAATCACTTGACAAACACACCGGATAATTAAATGTTACCCTAGCTGGTCAAAGAAAGACAACTCTAATATCTACAATTTGTCATTTTTGACATTATACATTTGTCACATACATTATTCGTACACACACACACATATATATGTATATATATATATATAGAGAGAGAGAGAGAGAGAGAGAGAGAGAGAGAGAGAGGGAGAGAGAGAGAGAGAGAGAGAGAGTGTCTGTACTTTACTAAGCATGCTCAAATGTCATCTAATAGGCTTACCCTAATATACAATCATCTTTATTTTTTATTTTATAGTTTACATTGGTTTTGAATTATTTTAAGACCTACACTGATGAGAATAATCAGAAGTTCATTACTAGGAGAAATGTGCAAGTTCTGTTATCAGTGGCAGATCCAAGGTCGGTTGTGGTAAGGTGCGTACGCCCCCATTTGATCGACCAATTTTTATTTGAATCTCATGTTTTTCACGATATACATAAATGTTTATTAAAAAATCGTTCAAAATTGTTTTCACGTTATACAATTATCGGGAATTACACTCCCCTTTAAACAATTCTTGATCCGCCACTTGTTATAGATCGTGATCACACTGTCCCCTGTTAAGTCGGAGCTTAAGTTGTATCTTAGTTCGGGCTCTGAATCACTATGGAAATTAAAAATGGAATCATTGGTACAAATATTATCTTTTCAAAAGATTAGAGTGAATTTTAGAACGTTTCATCAAAGATGTCTTGCACTATCTACACAGAAAAAAAAATTTGGGCAAAAGTTTTAGTTTATCCCCAATATAATTCTTAAAAGTTCCAGCAAAGGAAAAGGTAGTAAAATCAAAACTTACTTACTGAGCTATTTCGGCATGTCCCTCTGCACATGCGGCATGCAAAGGGGTCCAGTAATCGTCGTCTTGTTTGTTGATGTTTGCACCGTGTTCTACTAGTAATCTTACTGCCATTAAGTTTCCATCTAGAACTGCTTGATGCAATGGCGTTAAACCTTAAAAATCATAACAAAATCATTTCAAACTCATATCAACTATGAACCGATTTTCCACAGTTTTGATAATGCATCAACTACATAACCAACGCGGGAGATACTAGTAATAAGGATTGGGGTAAAAAAGGGGGGCGTTCGATGAACATCGTGTGTCATTTATATTTCGTGTGTGAAATATCGTTCTTTAAATATGTATCTATATATCCGTCAACTGTTTCAAAAATGATACCTCTGATTTTTGTTTTGGGTATGTGGGTTAATATCATTTGCAAATCATGGTCAGACAACTGTTTACTCTTCCATCTGCATGAGATATTTGACTACTGAATGACGTGTGTGATACATGGCCTCTGAATGACATGTAATAATATATCTGTCCACTGAATGACATGTGAGCGATCCGTGTTTGTTGACAGACATGGAAAATACCTATGTTTTTTGAATAAAAAGTTAGATACATGTCTGCTGAATGACGTGTGAGATATCTGTTTACTGAATGGCGTTTGAGATACATGTTAACTGAATAGCGTAGAAGATATTACTGGTGAATGACGTGTGAGATATCTGTTTACTAACTAGCGTGTGAGATATCGGATAGCTGAATGACGTGTTAGATATCTGTCCACTGAATGACGTCTTAGATATCCGTTGTCAACTATACCATAAAACAAAACAAAATATGAAGACAACAAACAAAGATAACCACTGAATTACAGGCTCCTGACTGAGGACAGGCACACATAGAATTATGCAGGGTTAAACATGTTTGTGAGCAGAAATATCCCTAATCTGGGATAGTAACTACTTGTAACAACACAACATAAGAACAAACTGTAAAAATCAGTTGGAAATGGTTTGACTCGTGGGATCGGAACAAGGCACAACAAACAACTAATATAAAGACAAAAGACCCATGTACTTTTCATGAACACACCCTAGTGTTCTTTCCTACCGGTACAATAGAATATAATTGTAGTTTTGCATTAAATAAACAACCCCCCGCGTTCTTACTAATCGGTACGTCTGAATTTTCTTGTAGTTTTTATGACAAACCCAGCATTCGTACCCACCAGTACGTCATAGCTTATTGGTAGTTTTGCCCTTCATGAAAAACCCCAGTGTTCTTACCTACCGGTACATCATAATTTATTTGCTGGTTTTCTTTTCATGACAAAAGTACAGTATACTTACCTTAATCAGAATTTTCTTGCTGGTTTCCTTACAAGACAAAACCAATGCAGTGTACTTACCTTAATCAAAATTTACTTGTTGGTTTCCCTTTCATGACAAAGCCCAGCGTACTTTCTTATAACAGAATCCACTTGCTGGTTTCCCTTTCTCGATAAAGCCCAGTCTACTTACCTAATCAAAATTTACTTGCTGGTTTCCCTTTCATGATAAAGCCAAGCGTACCTACCTAAATCAGAATGTACTTGTTGGTTTCCTTTTCTCGACAAAGCCCAGTGTGTTTATCTAAATCAGAATTTACTTACTGGTTTCCTTTTCTCGACAAAGCCCAGTGTGCTTATCTAAATCAAAATTTACTTGCTGGTTTCCTTTCTCGACAAAGCCCAGCGTGCTTACCTAAATCAGAATTTACTTGCTGGTTTTCCTTTCATGAAAAAGCCCAGTGTGCTTACCTAAATCAGAATTTCTTGCTTTTTTTTTGTACTGACCTGCATCATTTATTCCACTAATATCAACTTGAAGACTTGCTCTCCGTAACATTGATCCAAGTGCTGGAATATCATTTTCCTTTATATTATCCAAGAAGACTAATTCATCGGAAAATCTAACTTTAGGTCGAGGTTTGGTTGGATTTTGTTTAGCATACAAACTGGCACGCCGACTCATTATTCTCGACCGTGCTGATGCGCGTGTCTAACACACATGGAAGTTTACAATATAATCGTGTAGTGATTTGTTTACAGTATGTCTGTTCATTACATCTTAACAGTGTCAGATTTCATCTTCTATATCTCAGCTCCATATACCTAAAAATAACAACCACAAATTACTCAAAATTGCATTTTTCAACGCGTAATTCAATTGATTTTTGGTATCAAGCGAGTACAGGTTTTGTTTCACCTACTTTTGATTAATGGCTCTGTAATATGGTACAGAATTAATCAAACTTATTTCTCGGTTATAAAATAAAACGGTTCGTATCTGACAGACCATTGATATAAGGATGCCACTTTATCTATCAAATTCTAAAATAAGATCAATATTATTGTCAATAGAAGTATTCAATACGACACCCATTGGTAATTACACTGCTAATATGTACTTCAGATGCAAGTTTCGATGTACAGAAAGCAAATTATAGTTAACTAAGATTTTTTTCTGGATAAATTGATACACGGAGATACATATAAAAGATATAAAATCTTATTTCCATGGCCAAATCTGACATCTCATTTGAATAATATCCTTATCATTGGTAGAAACAGCATGTTTACGCATGCATTGCAAAGAGTCCATCCAAATATCTCAATATTTTTTTGTTAAAGATATAAAACATGATAAGGAGATAAGGAAGTATAGCTAATGAGATAATAATCTGTTAAGACTAAAGGACGATGGTGTGAACAACCATTTTTTGTAAAAAAAAAAAGAAGCTTTTGTAGTCGAATATTTCAGCAGTTAGTCAGTTTCATTTATGATTTTTAATGTTTGTTTGCAATAAAAAAAAATTGTGAAAAATGTGACGTGAGGAGGGGAAAAACATAGTTTCACAAAAAAGGGGATTTCAATTACAATGGCACATTTTGACATGCTGGGGTCTTTGATATCTTACTCTACAGTATAGTCATACAAAAGAATTCCAGAAATGTTAAATTCATTCATTCATTTGTTCAAAAAAGGTTTTTGTATAAAAGTTGTATAAAATATCAAAACTAGCAATATTGGGATATTAGAACACATTCTATTAATTTACGCACTCCAGAATTTCCTTTTATCATTCATATTTGAAATGTGCGGGACAGACAAAGGATTCCCAGAGAGATCTTTATTGGTTTTATCTTATTTTGTTGCACTCTAAACAAACAGTGAAAGTAATATGCGGATTCAAATGAAAATGTAATTCAATTTCATGTTCTGTAAAATGTACAATTATTCTAAACATAAAAGCACACATGTTAAGTATTCGTTATTGTGATTGTCGATCAATATGGAAGAACTGAAATTGAAATTGTGTTATTGGTTGGGAAAGAATGCACAATGGAATGAATGTCTATCTAAAAACAACAAATTTATCAAAGAAACGGAGCTTTCATTGCTGCTCTTCTTCTTGACGGTATCATATTCGCCTTCAAGCATTCTTATATGTGAATACGACAAACAAGTTTTTCTCTATAATTAATAATGGTGGGGATGGGGAAGAAGAGAGAAGAATGGGCAAAAATATAAAGAATAGAGAAACATGTACAAAAAAAAATGAAGACTAGAGAATGATGAGGTGCTAAAGTATAACGAATAGAGAATAATGGGCAAAAAGTATAAAGAATAGAGAAAAACGGCCTAAAAATTAAAGAATACAGAAGTGAAGGACCCCCATCCAGACCCTCTATAATCATGATAAAGATAAAACATTTCTCTCAATAATCTAAGTAATATCTACATGTACAATGAATCAGGACTACATGTATTTTCCCCTTTGGAACCATAATCGCTGTTTGATATTTGATTTGTTTGTGTACACTTGTCTTCCATAGTACTTGCTCTTATTTCGTTTAAATTCTTACACCATACGCTTTGATTTTGTATTCAAGACAAAAGTGCGGGAAGTTTATATCAATATAGACCACATGCAAGTAGACTGATATTGACCCTTAGAGAAACATTTCTCATCTTTGTCATTTAATTTGAAAATCCTATCATAAATCTCTATATTTTCAGGCTAACTCCACTCGACTTGCGTACCCGTTTAACCCCCCTGGTAAATCAAAGCAATACAATTGCACTGAATGTCAACAAAAACAAACAAGTCTATTCATTATTTTGACCAACTGTCCAGGAGGAATATTATAGCTTGTTAATTAATAAATCACAAAGGTAATGGCTTTATCTACATAATTCGGTGATGATATGTACATAGTTTTGTTGTTATGTCCACTATAACGTCCAAGTACTGGTTTTAACCTGTGTCGATCTGATAGGTTTTCAAGATAAAATTGTTGAATGTGTTGACTTTTACAAGTTTTTACGTCAGTACTTTATCAGCGTCTTTTGATCTTTAATGTGTCCTTTAAGTTCAAATAAATAACAAATACGTAAATGTAAAATAAAAAATTTAATGCATTAATCCGTCGTCACGGGCCTGAGAGAGCTGATTCTCATCTGGTTTTTTTTCTGATTTATTAAGAAGATAAGTTGTTAGATTTTTTATGAACCTCAAGCAGATTTTAAATAATGTTTCGATCATGTAGATGTATATATTTAATCGTCCAAATGAATAGTAACTATTATGTTTACACAAATTGCAAAAAACTCAAATACAATTAAAATTGGTGGAAATCTTCAAAACATTTTGATTTGATTTGATATCACTGGTATGCATCACTTTCTTTAGAATTAAGTATACTTATAATATTAATATAAATAATATATAAATTTCACTAATTCACAACTTTCACCAAAGTAAAACTTTTTGAATGAAATCTATATCTACCGGAAAACAAGTACTTTTAGTAAATGTAGGGGTTATAATGTCTAACACCAATTTAATTTGATTTTTTTATGATTTTTCTTCTCTGTCTTCTCTGAAAAATAGAGCGAATAGCTATAAAGATCTATGAAGGAAGATATATATTATTACAGCTAAAACTTTCAAATTTGACTAATATATTATACTTTTTTTCTTTTTATTTGCAACATATATTTATATGGAATTATTTGCGCAATTTGTCTTGGCCTCTTTCCAATATCTCATTCATCTCGAAACTAAATTGAAAGTACCCCCTTTTTATAAGATAAAAATTACTACTTACTTCGCCTTACATCATAAGATCGTTCTCCTTTGCGAATTGTCTTTGTTTTCCGCGCCTCTTATAACCTCTGAATAAAAGTAAAGAAACCTACACGTGCACCTTTGTTCTCCGAGACTCTTCTTATAACCTCTGAATATAGAAGAATAAACCTACACGTGCACAATGACGTAATTTAAATTGAAAAATGCTCAAAACACAAATATTTTCTGTAATCTAAAGTAATATAACTCCGGTACACCTGCTTGTTCAATGTAGAGATCTATACCTCAGGGACAATACAAACATCTAACTCGATCAGATACAGGTAATCTCTACAAAACACGTTACTTAATTTCTCTACTTTCATATCATAGAATTATGTTTTAATTAGAGTGTCTTCCAAAAGCACACATATAACAACAAAACTATGTGTAAATAACAATTGTAAACGTCCAGATTTTACTTTGGTGTTAATTTCAACACTTCTATTGATGGTTTACTGATCTGAAATCAAAATATTAGTAAGTATCTGTTCAACTATTAACTTTGTTATTGAAGAGAATTTGACGATTTGTTATTTACATGAGTAAAGAGAAATTCGATTTATAGCTTGACGCCTAAATGTTAATATTCTTTGGTTAATTACACAGGGATCATTGACGGTAACGACACGTCTCTTACACCGAAAATTGAAAATTATGATTAAGTATATTATAGATCAAGCTTCAAAGTGTAATGATAACCGATCTAAATTGCTCGAATGTGTTTCAGATTCGCCAGTTAGTTTGAAGTTAGAATGTTATTCAAGCTTCTTCAAAGAGCCCATACAAGTATAGGATTTTTTATAGAGATGGTTCTTCAACGAGGATCCGTGCGTCCAAACAAAACTCTTTAGATTTTTTCCCACCCAAATTTAAGAAAATTAGATCATCCCCAGTAGTTTCTTCTGATAAGTGGTTTTAAACGATAATTTCAAGTGAGAATATGCGGTTTTTGAAACAAAAATGTTTAACCCTTTTATTTTTGTAAATTATCATAGACTGTCTCACAATGTCTCCGTTGTTGGAATTTTTTTATTTGCTTCTAAGATCTGCTATAAAAACTCCAAAAGATGTAGAACCTTAATCCCGTCTTTAAACAAATGGCATGGCAAAAAAAATTGAAAAAAAAACAACAAAAATCTTCAACTCTTACCTATATTTGAAACAGTCCTATGATAATAATAAATGTAATAAAATGTTTTTTAAAATTCCGTCCGATGGTGCGCCACACTGAGTTGTATTAAGTTACTTGACAATGTGACGTTTTGTATGTAGAATACTCCCTGCATCCAAGATCGTTTTACATCGGATGGGAATATAAATAAGGTTAAAATTACATTACGTCTCTCAAATTTTGCTCTCAATGAATGAAACATCAATACACTACAGCTTAATGGCAAAATAAATCTAATTTACCTCTGATTTTAATATGAAGAATATCGAACAGCTTTATATAGTTATTGTCCCATTAACCTCAATTCAAATCTTTGTATCATTTCTGTAGCAATTTGTCAGAATATTTATTATAAGGAACTATCCATCAACTTTGACCTTACAAAAGAAGAACATCCACATTGATGTATTTAAACTTTATTTAATGTGACCTAACCAATAGAAGTTGAATAGTTTGAACATCCATATATTGATGTTAAATTTATCTAATGGATCAGAATTACTGTTTATATAGCACTTATATCCCTTCTTATGAATGCAATCTGATTATTTTGAACTAGATGACATATACATCTGTCCCAAGCAATTGACAAGACATTTACAGGGGTGGCATGATAACCAGTAGTATTAAAATGAAATGTCCTGGAGACAGGTCTTTGTGAATTTATTCTATCGAAGAGAGCCATTACGATTGTCCCAGAGCCCCGCTCAGATAAGAGTGCATTTTGATGTGGGTTTTTTCTTTGCAGTATAAGCTTGTATAAACAAATTATAATTTAGTGTGATGAACTTTCCTTTCATCCTTTTAATTCGGTTTGTTCATACTAATGAGAAACAATGGAAAAAATATTAATGCCACCACGTTAGCGCTATTTATAGGAGGGTCTGGATAGGGGTCCTTCCTTTCTGTATTTTTTTATTTTTTTAGGCCATTTTTCTCTATTCTTTAAACTTTTTACTCATTATTCTCTAGTCTTTATATTTAAGCACCTCATTATTCTCTATTCTTTATATTTATGGTCCATTTTTCTCTATTCTTTATAATTTTTGCCCATTATTCTCTATTCTGCAAACGCCCATCCACACCCTCATTTAGAGCTTAACACACTTTAATAATAAACACCCACTATCTGCAGGTTTAGAATTACATGTTGATTTTTTTAACAATATATTTGTTCTTAGATTACTTGCAACTTAAGATATACTCCACATGAACATTGATTGATTGATCAATTGTTGGTTGCTTTAAGTCCGGTGGCAACTATTTCTACATTCTCAGAACGAGCATAAAAGATGATCAAATTTTGTATATTAATTTTAATACATTCTTCTTTTTATAAACTAAACGCTCCCTATATGTTTTGCAGAAGTTTTTGTTGGATGAATTCCCACGTAACATCTTCAGTCTGTCAGAGAATGACACCTGTTTATCAAAACTTACTAATTATAAAATAACAAAACTCACCTTTAGCATATGCTTGAATTAACTTTCTAACTCTAAAATTTCAATGATCAAACGTAAATTCCAGCTTTATGTTCAACAGTTTCCTACAAATTAACTATCTGCAGACCTTCAGATTATGATAATAGAAATGGGGAGTACCTCAATAACTCACAAGTCAATAGAAAGTGGTCGCTAGAAGATAACTTATCTCGACTTCCTCTCGATCTCAGAACAGGCTAAATATCTTCACAATTCAAAGCGTAGATATTTAAAATCATTTTGCTCAACTTCATTCCACGATCAATTGTATTATTGTGTAAATATGAAAAGTGATTTTTTGCTGTCATATAATTGGATAACAAGCTATTTAAAAGTAATTGATGACAGTACTTATTGGAAATCTAATATATCTTAATCACAGTGATCTTCATAAAAAGGCTGTGACCATGCTATTTAATCGGTAATTGTAACCTAAACCATATTTCATGTGTTCCTAACTGAGGATGTATCTGTACGTCATTAAATACATAAACACCTATGCACTTTAAACTTTTCATTATTTTGGAATTAATTGCAGAACGATTTAGAACTTCTTTAACCATGAGCTCCTATCAAATCAAACATAATGCTTGAGTTCGCTTTGAAAATTAATCCAGAAAAGGTTTCTCTCTATACCACCCCAGAGCGCCGGATTCACCAAATATATATTTGGTTTGGACTTTTTTATTCTATGTTTTGAATGATGTACTTTGTCAAACATAATAAGCATTATTATTAAAATACAACTGAACACGAAACAAAAACAGAAACGAGATTGTTTGTAGCTACACAAAACTGATGTCAAGTATAAACTTTTCATTTCTAGTGAACTTAAATTTAATATATTTATGATTGCGTGTTGTTCGCTATCCTCATTATTATTTGAGTGAAATTGATTTCCGCATTAAGCAATGAATTAAACATTTTAATAACCATGAATCCGGACACAACACGCTAGATCATCTGATCTTGAAGATATGTACATTTCCTTTTTATTAGAAATATGCAAATCTTTGCCCATGCATAAATGCAAGCTATGTTGACAACATATGTTACCCATTCTACATTTTTCTCTTCTTGCTTGTTACGTTCGAATAATTAACATGGTTCATTAACATGTTCTACAGGGCACATTTGCTACACAGATGTTACAAGTATCAGCATTACCCGAGATCTAGAGACGATATGAGTTTTTTTATTATAGTGTTACGCGGTAGTCTATAAACATTTATACCCGAGATCTATAGTCGACACGAGTTTGTTTTTATTATATTGCTACGAGCACAAGCACTACTCTCGTCTCTGATTTTTTTTAGCCGCTTTTTTGCTTTAATATAGCACGTATATAGGTAAAAAAAAAATAGAGACAAGTGCCTGTGGTTACGAGGAATCTATATTTGAGATTTAAGTCTCAGTTAATATACGAGGGTTTTGATATGTCCTTCATTTCTTTATTTTTTATTTTAATTTTCATACCATTTTCTCTATTCTTTATTTTAGCACCCCATTATCTTCTATACTTTATTTTTGTGTGTCTATTTTTGTCTATTCTTTATTGTTTGCCCTCTATTCTGGGCTTTCACCCCAATATTCTCTATTCTGTAAACCCCATCCACACCCTCATAACAGATATTGACAACTGACGTAACACCATTCGATTACTTAATGGAAGTTTGGTCCATCCATATTGAAATGAAATACTATGAGATTACTCAGAACCCCCATGCTCTAAAGAATGTAAGACTTCGTGCATGCACCCTCGTAAGACAAGCTATTAACTAGAAATTTCAACGTTTCTATTGTACGGTTAATAAAGTATGAAACGTTAATTTGATAAAAATGTCAACATAACCCGTACTTACAATAGCTGAATAGACGAGTGCAGTAATTAAATCCAAAAAAACACGATGGAAAGAACTATACGACAGATGTTATCAATAGTGTAATCGATTTCAGGTGTTGTTGATTGCATTTATTACATCGATCCTGATACACAATTTAAATGTTGTTTGATCACAAAAAAGCATCAAAAGGGTAATCAGCTTCAAGTTTATGATTCTAGTCATGCTAGTCGCTGAAAAAGGTATAAAACTATTTGACACTAGACGTTAAATTACCAACGATTTATCAATCAAATGAAAATTACCAACGATTTATCAATCAAATGAAAATTACCAACGATTTATCAACTATTTACAACACATTCTTTTTGTTTTGAATTGAGAATAAAACAAGAGGCTATTAAAATTACATCAAACCGGGTTTTATTACATTTATTAGTGTCATTGTTAAAGCAGCTAAGGGACATAACTCGGAGTCTCCTGTACGGCAAAAGTAAAAGTCGTCCATATCAAACTTGATTTCAATTTAACCATCTGAAACAACATATTAAAATTTCAAAATCGTAGGTTGAACCTCGGAATAATAATGTTAAATTAATTTCCAGGTTCTCACTCAGACATAAAGTGTAATTTTCCAATCAAACAGGACCATATAACTCCTAGGTGGTAAAAAACTTATTATTGCTAGGCGTTATTGTCAAATGGCAAGAAATGTTGCTATTGTTAGATGACAAGAAATGATGCCATTGCACGGTAATAAGA